CGGACGCGAAGGCTCGTCGCTGAAGATCCTCCTGCTCGTGTTCATACTATGGGCCAACTGGGAGCTCCTTGCACCATATATTGCAAAGGACACGCCCAACCCCTTCGCCCCACTCCTCTTCATCTCGCACCGGATACCGGATACCCCTGAAGATGACCCGTGTTATCAGAAGGGCTACCTGGACCTTGCCTTCCTTGCCTACTATATCGTCTTTTGGTCATTCGTCCGGCAGACCATCACGGTGTACCTATGCAGGCCCGCTGCCAAATGGTTTGGCATTCGGAGGGAGACTAAGCTGGACCGTTTCGGCGAGCAAGGGTATGCCGTGCTTTACTTTGCATTCACAGGCGTATGGGGTCTGGTGAGCGTTCTTCCGACACCGTCCCGAGGCTCCTCTGAACATGTTCGCAGCTTATTATGAGGCAACTACCGACCTGGTGGTATCGCACTGAGCACTTCTGGCTGGGTACGTGTCTACCCTATCGCGCGCAAGTATTTCGTCTCAGACAGTACATCAGAATACCCGCATTGGAAGATGCAGCCGCAACTCAAAACCTACTACCTCATGCAGGCTTCTTACTGGTGCCAGCAGCTCATTGTGCTGTTGCTTGGCCTCGAGAAGCCGCGCAAAGATTATAACGAACTTGTCGCTCACCACTTCGTCACCCTCTGGATGGTCGGGTGTGTGACACTTCCGTGTGCATCATAAATCAGAGTGCTGATGGTCTCTAAACAGATGGAGCTACCTCATCAACCTAACGTACATTGGCCACGCCGTTTACCTCAGCATGGATATTCCTGACAGCGTGCTCGGGGTACGCGCATATCTCCAAAATTTTGCGGATTCCCTCTTATCTAGTTCCCGTGCAGCTCTCCAAACTCCTCAACTACATCCAATGGCACCGGACGAAGACTGCGACCTTCACGGTGCTGCTGGTCGTCTGGACGTACGTCTCCGCCGTTCAAATGCATATCTACCTTTTCCCTGACGCCGCAGACAACAGATACTTCCGCCACTGGCTGAACTGGGTCATGCTGTACTCAGTATGGTTTGAATTTGACCTTATGCCGTACGTATTGTGCGCCACCGCTCCCACACACGACCTGCGCTCACACCCGGCGCTGCCGTATCTAGCGAGAGTTCGAAACAGTGGTCGCCCAAGGACGGCGTGTGGCTGACCTGGTGGATGAAGTACCAGATGTTCGCGCCGATGCTGCTGCTGCAGTGCCTGAACCTCTTCTGGTACTTCCTCATCCTGCGCATCGCCTGGCGGTACGTGTTCGCGCGTCATTTCGAAGTTTCTCGTGTGCTGACGTAGGGGATCCCTTTTACAGTGCTCTCACCGACATCGAAGTCACTGACGACCGTTCGGACGACGAGGACGAGGGCGATGACGACGAGGATGAGAAGGATAAAGACGACTAGAGACGATGCCGAACGACGCGACGAACGCTTTTTATGTGCGAGACGCGACAAAACGATACCTTACCTTATTAGATCACGCTTCATGACCGTCGCAGAGTCCTGTTCCACTAGCCATAGCTCTACCCAGCGTACATCATCATGCATCGCCAGAGGTCTAAACCAACAATACATTCGATTCTCGATTCGCTACAGCGCACGGCCACACGGTATCAATACAACCCACGGCAATACTGGCTACACTAGATCACGCAACGTTCAAACCGACTGGGAATTTGACGGGCACACCTCACAGGTCGTCGTCGTCGGCGGTGGGCATGGGCGGCGCAGCGGTCGGGGGACCCATCACGCCCTCCATGTCTGAGAAGTCCGACTCCTCCTCCCAGTCCTGGAACTGGACCTTCGGCTGGTTCTCCTCTGTGCGCTTCGGCCACCGCTGCTCGCGCTGCTGGTCGACTGGGTCGCCTGTTGCCATCTCCACCATGGCGTCCATCGTGTACTGCATGCGCCACCGTCAGCCGCTGTCAAAGCAGACAGAGAACATGCGGGCTGGACTTACGCGGGCGTCGTTCCCGGCGTTGTGCAGGAACTTGGTAGTGATCTGGAGGTGCCGGCAGACGCGCTCGAGGGAGCGCCTGTTGTTCGACGCGTCGCCCTCGAGCGCGGCGAAGAGGTCGGCGGTGTCGACCACGTAGATCTCGCCTGTCTGGGGCGAGTCTGGGAGGAGGTAGTCGACGCGCTCTATCGCCTTGACCATGTCCGACTTGAGGTACCTGGCGGGCTGTTTAGCGTCACGGCGACCACGGAGGAAGAGACGAAGCGGACGCACTTGACGTCCTGCGAGTGGTCATGGAAGACGAGGAAGAGCGGGCCTGCTTCCTTGTGCGTGTTGATGAGGTCCTGTATCCGCTGCTTGAACACGGGCTTGGTCACGATCTCGCTCTCGCCGAAGTTGTAGTACTGCCCTGCCGTGTCAGCGTTCCATTCCTCCCGTCCCCAGAGCGAAGGGGGTGGCTTCTGCACGCCCGCCGAAACGTACCTCGCGGTTGTTGGGGACGTAATGCTGCGTGTACATCCGGTGCTCCTTCACGACGAGGTGCCCGTCCTCCTTCACCGGCTCGCCGTCGACCCAGCGCACGGCGCTCCACCCAAACTCGGTCAGCGCCGTGTGGTCCATGTCCCACGCCTCGAAGTCGAGCGCGAGCCATGTGCCGATCTTCGCCGCCCACAGCGTGCGCACGCGCTCGAACGCGAACCGCCGCGCGGTGAGCAGGCTGCCCGTCCCGCGCAGGCGCTTGTTGTTCTTGTCGATGCCCTGTTCGCTGCTGTTAGTACACGACTTACGCTTACGATGTTTCTGGCCGCCGCGCCGCCCCCGGCGCCGCCTGCGGTCACGTACTTTGATCGCCTTCTTCAGCGCCGCCGGGTCCTTGTACACGTC